TCAGATGGCACACAGGAACATGACTTTTTTAAGGGAAGATTTTCAGCTCTCAAGAAAGGCCAGGTGAGGTCAGGGATAGGATGAGTGATTACTCTGAGTCAACTTATGCAAGGGTGTCATTTGCGGGGTAAAATACATGGGGAAAATAACTTCTGGAGAAGTAGGTGGGACATGACACCAATGGATACCAGGGAACAATACTGCTTTTCAGTCACAAGTTGATTTCCAAAAGCTAAAAATGAACAACTGTTATAACCAAAATAGGATCTAATTTGCAGTAGTTCTTTTCCTTGCCTTAACTGGCACTTCTCCAGGGAAATCTGGATTTCAGAAAGCACTGGAGGAACTGACAGTTTTTTCAACCCATCACATCATAGAATCACAGAACGGCTTGGGTTGAAAGGGACCCCAAGTATCATCAAGTTCTAGCCCCCCTGCAACAGCCAGGGTTGCCACTAAATCAGGTGCTAGATCAGATTGCCCAGGGCCCCATCCAACCTGGCCTCCAAACTCCAGGGACAGGGCAGCCACAGCCTCTCTGGGCAATCTATTCCAGCACCTCACCATTCTCTCAGTAAAAAACTTTCCCCTGACATCTAATCTAAATCTCCCTTCCTTTAGCTTAAAACCATTCCTCATTGTCCCATCACTATTTACCCATGTAAAAAGTTGATTTCTCTCACATTCATAAACTCCCTTTAAATACTGGAAGACTGCAATGAGGTCTCCTTGCAGCCTTCTCTTCTCCAGGCTGAACAAGCCCTGTTCCCTCAGCCTGTCTTCATAGGAGAGGTGCTCCAGCCCTTGGATCATCTTTGCAGCCCTCCTCTGAACCCTCTCCAGAAACTCCACATCTTTCCTGTGCTGGGGGCCCCAAACTTGGATGCAGTATTCCAGCTGAGACTTTGCTCCTTTTATCCCAAGCAGACAAATGTTAGCAGGGTCCTCAGGGCTTCCTTCATGTGCAGCTGCAGTTAAAAGAAAAGCCTTATTCTAATCCTTGTCTTGTTTCAGCTTACTTTAGGAACCTCACTGTTTCTTACACTTAACTTAATGAAAGGCACCTTTAATATAAACCAGAGTTCTCCCAGACACAGTATAACAAAGGCATAGTCAAGAAAAAAAAAAAACACAAAAACAGGCAGACTGAAGGATGCTTTTGAATACTGTACGGAGGAACAACCTGTGGAGGCACTTGAAGTTCTTCTTGGCAACATTAAACAGGAATGAAGAAGGGGCAGTTTTATTTTACTCCTCTGGAAAACATGTGGAATGAGGGGAATACATCACACCTCCTCCTGGTGCCTACCAGAATGCTGCAGCCCCCCGTGCTGCTGGGCGCTGCTGGTGGCAGTGCCACTGGGCACAGCGGGCAGTGCTGCCCAGACACACTCCAGGATAGCAGAAGTTTATACTGCCACCCATTGCTGCTGCAAGCACTTTCCCCCTCAGCTGCTCAGCAGAGCTCATTCTCGGCAACGTTTCCCTTCCTGGAGCCACCCGTCCTGCACACTGATCTGTCCTGGAACCACAGGGACCCTGAAGTGTGCTGGTGTGAGTTCAGGTAGGAATGGTTTTCAAAAGCTAAGAAGCCATTCTCTGGAGCCATCATATCTATTTTCTGCACTGCTTCTTCTCAGCCAAGAATACTTGGGCCCCAGCTCAGTCCTTTTGCCACAGGCTTTTTGTTCCAGATGCTGTCAGCATGTTGCAGTAGTTCTGAGAAGAAAAATTCAGGACTGTGTAATATCTGAGGCTGAGAATCCATTGCCTGACAACAAAATACATTTCACTGCATGATTGGAAGCAACAGCACCTGCAGGGCAGGTGTACAGAGAGACTTGACTACTGGAAAATAAGGCTAGAAGCAAAAAATTGGCATTATGTTGGTGCATCTGGACCATCACTGCATGGTGCTGTGATAAAGTAATCTGTGACTTTCTACAGACAGAGCCTGCAAAAAAGGCATCAAGACAATCCAGACGCAGTTGGTGCAATACAGAGCATTTTCTTGAATGATGTTGATTTGACTGTTTTCCAGAGATTTTGAGGGATTTCAGGCTGTCATATAGTTTTGCAAATACTTCCTTGTACCATGCCTGTGCCGTCGAAAGAACTTCAATTTTGATTCAATTTCCATCCTTCAGCTTCATGTGCTGTAACAGCTATGCACAACAGGCATGCATCTGGGTGCACAGGCACAGACCAAGCTCCTTACCCAAGTGCTTCTTGTGAAGTCAGTTCAATCTTAAGTTTTCCATGCCTATTATCAGCATCTGGCGAAATTATCTGGCAGGATGATTTTAGGCATAAGAGTTTCTACAAGTGACACTAAGAAAAAAAAGTGATAGTCATTTCACCAGTGCTATACTGATGAGGAACCCCACAGCATATCCAGCTCAACTTAATGCCATTACCTCTTCTTCTATCACTGGTTATCTAGAAGAGACCGACCTCTGTCTGGCAACAACTTCTCTCATCCAATGACAATTTAATACAACTCCTCCTTAGACTAAAAGGGCAGACAGAAGGCAGGACAAGTGAGCTTAGCACCCTTCCTACATTTTCCCACTGCTGGTGTTGTCACATTATAAGTGAGTGTGAGAAGCTACAAGTAACCACAAGGGTTTATAATGCAGTGTGAAATGAAATTAAACCAGGTTCCTATCTGAGGATGGAGGAGCATCAGTAATTTTAATTAATGGCCAGTAGACACATTGCAAATTACCAGACAAGTGCAGAGACACAAACAAATAAATAAAAAATCAAGAATGCTGAATCATAGAACGTTTTCTCATTTCATTTATTTGTTGGGTTGATTTTTTTTCATTCAAATTACAAAGAAATACCCACCTCAGAGTTCTAAGTTATATACAGCTCTTGCCACTGCTTGTTAAAAAAAATTAACAGATCAAAACCACCACAAAATATCACGGAAGTAATTTAATCTCAGTAATGCATAATAAGTCACAGTATGCCAGCAAGCGTCAGCAGTATATGCTTCAAATGTAATGGAGTCTCAGGTACTACATCTTGAGAAAGTATATGGTCATTCAGACTGCCATGGAGAACAAATTATCATTTGTTTGACTGCAAGAGGATTTGTGGCTTAAGCATCCTTTCTGAATACTGGGAAAAGAAATGATAACGTGGGAAGAAAATAGTAAACTTTGGCAATGAAAATCCATGGTGAAAGCAAGATAAACCATTATGAGATAAAGATGGACATGACAAAGTATCTTGCCCAGAGAGGTGGTGGATGGGCCATCCTTGCAGACACCCAAGGTCAGGCTGGGCAGGGCTGTGAGCACCTGATCTAGCTGTAGGTGTCCCTGTTCTTTGCAAGGGGTTGGACTGGATGGCCTTTCAGGGTCAAATGATTCTATAATTCTACGATTCAGTAAATTTGGGGTTGGGAAAATTCTGTCCCTTTTTCTGAAATATTATATGCTGTGTCTATCCACATAGAGAAAAGACATGGAGCACTTCCAGTTTTACTGTAATGGACTATAATTGGATGTTCAGAGCACTAATAAAGGATGATTTAGTGGAGTCTAATGCTACATGGCAGAGGACACCTGGAGTTGGAAAGTCAAAATGGAGCAAGCAAGGTATTAGGTGACACCTAGCTGTGAGCAGACAGTACAGTGCGTAGAGTTTGGCTTCCGTGCAATTTTGACAGCAGTTTCATGCTAGAAATAGGCTTCTCTTGCCCTGCCTTAGATTAAGGTAAGTATGGATATTACTACTGCTTTCTTTGGATAAATGCTGTCTGCAAAAGAAAGCAAAAGAAATCATTGAGAAACCAAAAATAAAATAGTCATTTCACAGTGAAATGTCCAATTCATTACTAATTTCTTCCTAAAATTGCCCAGTTTTGTAAATCATCTCAGCATGAGTGCATCACAATACTCTGAATGAATGAAAAGAATGATAAAAAGAAGCATTTTAAAATAAGCATCTACATATAAAACAGCTAGGAAACTATCTGTAACTAGACATAAAAAACACCCTTGTCTGATACAGCTGATAAACTATCTATAGGCTCATCTACAGTTTTTTAAAAGACCCTGGCAAATTTAGAGTCATGCAAGTTATACTTGAGAAAATGTCTCACACCCCCAAACTGAAAAAAAACCTGAAAATAAAAAACAATGTGTCATATGATCACAATATATTGGTATTTTGCCAAGACAGGAATACTGAGAATTAGTAGGCTTCTTAATCTAGGTGGGAAAATTGCTACCAGCAACACGAAAAGAGAAGCTAGACTGCTTCGAACTGCAGGAAAGGCATGCATTTAAGGCTGAGATTAGTCACTGGAACAAGCTGCTAATAAAAGCAGCACATTCTTCATTTCTTTCGGTCTTCAAAAGCACAATAAATGACTTTCTGAAATAAGCATTAGTCAAACTCTAGTGATGAAGCCTGATAAAGAAACGGCTGTATGAATGTTAACGGCTTGTGATGTGCAGGAGGTTAGATTACATGCTCTAGTGATATCATCTGTCCTTAAATGCTCTGAGTAAACACAGCATTGTACTGGTTTCCAGCATCATGATAAGAATTCAACAAATCCATTTCTTTCTTCTTCTTCATTTTATGTGTTTTTCTTCAGAAAATAGGGAGACAATTACCACGTGTGCCTCCATGATTACTCTGCAATTTTATATGCTCCTAAAACTTGGTAAGAAACAGAAATTCTTTTATTACCCCTAGACACTGACATGGCATTAAGACAAACTGGAGCTGGGGTCATTACATTTATCACAGCAAAAACCAAAACAATAACCATGGCACAGACTGCAGACTCAGGCAAGTGGGATAACTGGCAGGATTTGGGGGTATAACAGAAAAACTAAGTCACAGCTTGAACCAGTGATTGAGCACCTGGTGGGAAGGCAGGGCCAACCCAGGGGAGCTCAGGTGCACTCAGCTGAGTGACTGGAAGGCGTGGAGCCAGGATCCACCCCTTCCCAGATCTCATTTAAGGGTTGGCAGTGAAACCAAGGACATCTTGCTGGAGATTCCTGCCTATCTGAGGTGCTGTGAGGGTAAGATTTTTATTTTATTTTATTTTTTTCCTTCCCCTTTTGTCTATGGTTGCTGTATTTGGGCTTATCCACGTTTATTGTATCCTGGGACTTTGCTACCTCTACCCTACTATTGTTGCTGTGCTTTCCATCATGTTGTAGTGTTACAGGGGGACTCCTTGGGAGCACTGGATCTCATTTTGTTTCTACCAACAAATGAAATACTACAGATGTTTAAGTGACTCTTAGCTTAAATTCATATACTTTTAATTGAATCAGTAAGGGCATTTAAATTTAGTGAACATCTGTCATGCATGTTCCTAAGCCAGTCTTCTGCCTGCTGCATCTACCCAAGTGGTTCTGCTAGACCTGTTAGATAACATAACCCACATGCAACTTACAGACCTGTTCAGTTCCTGGCACTGAGCTGAGTTTATACTGGAAGATAGACTTATTAACAGAGATGTGCCAGAGAGGTGTTGAAGTGATGCAAGGAACTAAATGATCAAAAAGTGCTGCTGCTGTCATTCAGTGCAGGGATCCTTCCTGCATGGGTGTCCTTTTCAGACAGGCTGTCAGTTTAGATACAGAATTGTTTGATTTGGGAGGAACCCTTAAAGGTTTTCTAGTCCAGCTCCCCTGCAATAAACAGGAACACCTACAGCTAGATTAGGTGCTTAGAGCCCCATCCAGCCTGACCTTGAGTGTCTCCAAGGTTGGAGCATCTGCTATCTCTCTGGGCAGCCTGCTCCAGTGCTTCACTGCCCTTATTGTAACAAATACTTGTATCTGATCTGCGTGCACATGCTCAGCACACCGCTCTGTAGTCCAGATCTTAGCCTAGCAGCACTGCTGTTCAATCCCTAAGAAAGCTTTCTCTGTATCCCTGGTAGTGTGGTTTGGCTGCCCTGGGGGCACTGGGGTTGTGCTGGGGTGCCAGCAGAGAGCAGGGCACTGCAGCAGCAGCCGCAGGTGAGCTTGAGGGAAGGGCTGAGCAGGAGAAGAAGGATGGAGAGGGAGACAGCAGCTGCAAATAGGATGGTGCGGAGCTTTGATTTAAGCACCGAAAGGCTGACCTGCAGTGCTGTGAAAGCCAGCAGAGAAGCAGCTTCCACGTGTGCCGGAGCCCGGGGCTCCCGCGCCAGGGGGCAGCAGAGGAGCGACGGCGGCGGCACTGCGGGCTCTGCAGCACCGCGCCACAGCCAAACCAGCGCTTTGGAAAAGGAAAGGTTGTGGTTTTGGCCTTTCCTCAAGAGATTGTAATATCTTTGAGACAGACAGCGAGAAGCGTCCACAACATAAAATGCTTGGAAAATACCACCCAAACTCCTGAATCATGAGTTTCTGAGCACTGCAAGTTGGGAGAGTTTTACTCTCAAAATTTTCATAAGGTAGCTTCATAAGGCTTTCATAAGGTAGTTATAGCACTTCTACTAGGTAGCTTTTGGAAGGCGTTATGACTTTTTTTTTTTTTATTAGAGCTTGCTCCTGTCCTGTTCTTTACCTCATTTGTCACAGTGATAAATCATGCACAAGGATGTAACTCAACACGACAGCAGGTAAGGATAGCCGGGCAACAATTCAATTCTCATCATTATATTTCTTACTGGTTATTTTATTACATAAGGGTGTAAAACTCTCTACTCCAGAAATACAGTAAGAAATTGCAGGGTTCCATACAGGGATTTAATCAGCCTCTTTTATGTAATGACATTGCATTACACTTCTGTAATTCTGTATTCAACAAAATACAATGCTAGTCTTCCACGCCCATCCAAGGCCCCACAGACTCTGCCCCATTTACCAGATGTGCTCCACAACCAAGAAGCAGGCAATGCTGCATCCTTCACACCTGCAGAGCACTCAGTCCCATCCTCCTGCTCTGAGCAGGGCTGCCTCCTAGCAGATCAGGCTGCCTGGGGCCCATCCAGCCTAGCCTTGAGCACCTCCAGTGATGGGACACAGTTGTAATGCCTGAACTTGACATAAGGAGCAGATTGTTTCTTGCTTACTCAAAGTTGAGGAAGAGACTTCAGACTTCTACTCTCTGACCTGTTCCTGTGACTCCCACCTCATGCCTCAGATGGGCAATGTCTGAAGGGCTCTGACCATACAGCTTCTAGAAATGGCTCGTGAATCTCCTGCAGGTCATTGTCTGGGCCCAGCTGCTCAGAAAGAGTCTTTAAAGCAAAATGTAGCCACAATCTGAAGGAAGAACTGTGGAATAAACCTGTGTCCTTGGACCCAGCCTGGCAGGATCTTCCCTGGAGACCACAGTCCTAGTAATTCCCCAGCAGTGCTGTCTCCAGGAATGGTTGCTACTCACACCATGATTTGTTAAAGCTTTAGAGGAATGCTAGATACATCTAGGGATGAATTTAGTTTGGGAATTTAAGATGAGTTGGATCTAGTTTGCTGAAGTCATTTTTTGTGAGTAATCTATTTTAATTAAAGAAAGCAAACAAAAATGTGGAAAACAAATGTTAACTGGAGTTGTTTCCTTTCCAGTTTACTTTCAGCAAAGTCTGTTTCCATATGGTGCCTCGGAGCATACAAACACATCAATATGGGAAGATGAAATCTCCAGACATTACAAAGCCAGTTGGTCAGAAGACATGCTGACTGATTGCTGATGCTGGGCCCTGATGCTCTGATAGGCACAAGTACTTGGACTGCAAAGGCACCTGTGTGCACTGATGCCCTGTCTGTGTCAGAATTGCATCCAAGCATGGTCATTCAGGAAGATGGGCTGACAGAGCCCGATGGCAGGTGTAGTAAGCCCTTGTCTAGTGAGTATCTCTGGGCTGGTGAAAACACATGAGAGAAAAGCATATCAGATATGATTTCTCTTCTCTGGGTTTGCAGTGCTGAGAAGAGATATGGGGTTTAGGTAGGTTGTCTCCACAAATGCTATTGAACTCCTCAAGTAATGGCCTGGTTTCCTATGCGAACTGACATGTCTGCTATTTGGTGAGTTGTGTTGTGCCTTTCTGTTGATACCATGTTTATTTTGTGTCAGCAGAATAAACTTCTTGGACTGCTTTCTGAGGGACATGGGAAACTATCGGCCTGAAAACCTAGGAAGAAATAACACAGAATACTCAGCTGCCATAACAGTGAGACACCAAGGAAGGCCGCTGATTGCAAGAGTACCCTCATATTGAGTCTCTGTTTCCAACAGCCAAGCCCTCAGGAGAAGTATGATTCTAGATGACAGGAACCAAGGCTCTGGCTTTTGGGTCCTAGATCACACTGAGAAACATTCAGCAGCTGGGAAACATTCTCTAGAGAAGACTATTTATCTGCATTAACTAAAGAGGAAAAACTTATCAGATAGACACCTTGAATGCCCTTTGTACTGCCTCTTACTCCTAAGAACCAGCTCCTTCCTGCAGACCTCTGGAATTACACTTTTCTCCTTCATTCACAGATTTTATAAAGACCAAGTCAAATTGTGAGCATTTGTGACACTTTTTCCTCCAATTTCTCTTTTGTAAATAAAGCAAATATCTGAACTGCATTTTTTTTCTGTTTTATTTATTTATAAGATGCCTGAGGCATGTGTTCAATAGGGATAAATCACAAACACACCAACTTGTTTTTCCATGTGTTGAGTGTACACCTACAGCCTACCTTTAGCAAAATTTAATATCATTTGATAAATGCATGTATATGAGAGAAATTGCAACAGTTAAAAAGAACTGAAATATTTTTTCATCTATCTGGTGCTAAACCATGCCTTTTTATCAAAGCAATCCTCTCAAGCATCTCATAAGTATATTTAGAATATACTTATCTACATACAGTAAAAGAAAGAGCTGAGTGAGACTAGGGAAACCCATGGTAAAAATGGATGGCAATGCTCTCATAGAACTTAAGTAGACTTAAATCCTTCAGAAATAAGCACTTTGTAATATTGTTTTATTTTGCATGTTTATTAGATCACAACAAAGAAACTGAAAATCAAAACTTCTTTAGACACACCAGTAAATGTAATCTAAATTTTAACTATAGTATGAAAACTAGATTGAGTAATAAGGCATCAAAGTGCAGTACTGACAGGGGTGTGAAAATCATTTTGCACTTGACTTCTACTTGCTACCAGATTTAGTACAGACAAACAAGATTCATACAGAAAGTCCTCCCATATTCAGAAATAAAACTTTTCCTCTTATTTTTTCTAATGTTTTCTATAAAGGTTCCTCACAAACAGAAACCTTAAATACTACAAATTCCTGCAATGAGGTAGTCCACTATAAATAGAGTTCACGTATTTTAGGTTGATAATTGATTGTTATGCCCCAAATGAATTTATTGCTTTTTTTTTTTTTTTTTTTTTTTTTTTTGCTCCAGAATCAGCTTTGTCCCCTGTCAATTTTCCCCCTTATTTTCCTCTGCAGAGGCTTTTAATATACTGAACAGAGATATTCAATGCTACACATTAAACATTTGCCTGAGAGTCTGATGACTCTGCCACATTATCTGGGCTCTTTGTCCTCTTAGCTGCAGTTTCTTCAAATATTGACAGTACTCTTCATACACAGAAATATTCATGTTTAAAATATTCTCCATGCAAAATGTCCCTGCATTTTACAGAGCTTATTATCCTCTACTTTAGGCAGTCGTGAAAAGTGTGATGTAAATCTTCACAGCCTTCACAGTCCTCAGACAGTTCTTAATGATTGTATCACACGGCAGCTCATAAAACGGGGCACATATGTTTTTATGAACTTGTATGGGCTCACTTTCATATTTCTTTCCAGATTTAGTACATTTCTGCAGAATTAGCTCTTGTTCTCCTTTGACATCTTACTGAACATCTTGAAAGAGGTCTGGACTAAAAACAGACAAGGTGTCAAGTCATTTGTTCCCTCAGGGTTGTCAGCCCCAGAAGAAACTTCACTCAGCTGTTGAGATATGTTAAATAAGAAATAAAAGTGAGGCCTCACTTTTAGACTATCTTAAATTTTGTTCTTCGTGTGAAGAAGGAGCTCTTTTAAGCATTAATTTTAGGATACTGAAGATTCAGGTTCCAAGGTTCCCTTCAGACCACCACAAGTTGTTATCCTGTAAGAACAAAAGCAAACATTTTACCAGCAGAGCTGACATAGCCTTGTTCTAAGAAGCAAATCTCTAAGCCACACTTTCTCATTCTTTCAAAGCAGTCTTTAACAACCTGCCCTGTCAAGTGTAACACAGGAAAATGTAGGCGGGTCTAAAGAAGGACTCTGGCATGGAGATGTTGGGAGAGGAGTACAGAGGAGCACTCAGAAGGCTTTGGATAAAGAGAAAAGGTTGGCAGTTTGGCAACTTCAACAGTAAGACAGGACACAAGGAAGGGAAGCAATACAGGCTGGGGGAATGTTTTGGCAACAAAAGAAGATGATGAGTACAGCAGAGGTGGACAGCAAAATGAGGTGAGAGGGATTTGAGAAAGGGGCCTGAGGGTACTGCAAAATGAAAGAAGAGATTGGATGTGACAGGAATATTTACTAGACAAGCCTGATGACACTAATCATTGTCAATGCCCTCCCTATGAAGACATAGGCACAACCCCAATGCTTTCTTCCTGGGCAAGCAGTTACTAATGGGGAGCTGGTGCACATTAATACGTTTGCAGGAGGAGGTTAGCTGTCCTTCTTGTTGAGTAATCACTGCTCAGCAACAGCTAAAACTGTTTTATTGCAGGATTAATGTTTTCTGTTGATTGGCTGCTGCACTGTAGATAGCTAAGTGTCTGCAGGAGTCCAGTGGTAGCACATTGGATCACCCCAGTGATCACCTGTTTTCATCAGTTTTTAAAATAATCTTACTGAAAATTTAGTTGTGATTCCTACTCTCTGTAGTCATCAGGGTGAGATTCATACCAAACTTGGAACATCATTCTCTTTCCCATTTTTTCTGCCCTCCCAGGTGATCATATCACATCCCAGCTCTTTTGATATAAATCTGGCACATCACATCATACTTGTTTATTTGCTTCCTTTGGTTTCATTTGTCTAATATCTGTCTTTGAGCTGAAAAACAAAGAAGTTTCCGTTTCCTGAAAACAAAGGAGTTTTAGTTAATATTACCTTAAGAGAGAAAGTTTTCTAAACATAAAGTCTTCTTAATAAAGTAGGTATGCTATGTTTTCTTGTCTGAAGAAGAGTTGATGGTACTTGTAATTTAATTTAGTGACTTAATTTAAGAATGTATCAAATATAAAGATACTTCTATCTAAAACATATCTTCAAGTGCCTATCTGGGTGTAGATGAGTAAGAACATATGTATATTATGTCAGACCAAAGGTTCCTCAATAATGGTTTAAGTTCACTATTCTGTCTTTGAAACATAGACTGACAAAACTCACTCAGCTACATCTTTTCAGTTAAAAAAATGCACTCAGGTGAAGAGGCTTAACACCTATTAATGTGTCCAACTGGAATGCAAATTTGACACATGAGCAGGCATGCAGTGAATTAATGGGAGATCAGCATCTTGATCACGTAGGGAATGTCTGCACAGCTGTCTTAGTCAAGCTGTCCCAGAAGCAAGATCATGTAGCCATACATACCACTATGGTAGTGTTCAGAAAGTAGAAATGTGGAAAGAAATTTGGAGGTCATTCTGGCAATCCTTGTGGGCAAAGAGGGGATCAGCAAAGAAAAATAACATTTTCTCATTATATGCCTATACATTGCTGGTGAAATAATACTAGAATACTGTGTTGAAAGGAATATTTAAAACAAATCTAGAGGAAAACTATAAAACTTATTAGAGATTGTTTAATCATCCTAAAAGCTTGATCTATGTAAATGTTCAAAGATTAAAGGCCCCTTGATCACAATTTATAAATGTCAAATCTAGCTGTTGAAGCTATAATGAAATTCAATGTCTGGGAGATGAAGCTAAACTAATTCAGACCATAAATAATGCTCTCATTAGTTATCTGTGTGCATATTAACTGCTGAAATAATCTATCAAAGATTGTCCATCACTAAAAAGAATTCAATTAATATTGAATTTTTATTTGATAGACATGCTTTAATTCAACAACATCTACTGGGCTTGAAGCAAAGTAATTCATGGATGTCCAGTGACCTATGTTACAGAAAAGGCTGGAGTAAATAATTGTAAAGCCAATATTAATCAGTGAGTTCTTTAATTTATCCACCACAAATAACAACCTCATAGCTTGGTTATATGCTGTAAGGTTTATGACTTGATTTGTTTAGCCTAATCATAATATTAAGATATCCTTTGCAGAAGATATCTGCTTTCTCCTGCAGCCAGCAACAATCATAAAACTGACCAATAGAACATATCCTGCCCACTAAATCAAATTGCCACCTCATCAACAAGCCTTTGCAGAGGTCACTCTGGGATCAGGTAAGGACATTTTCAACAGCACTTTTGTCCAAAATTATTTCAGAGGGGTGACATTACTTGAAACTGTAACTATATCCTACCAAGAGATGTCCTGTGACATTTTGATTAGTTTTGCATCTTTTAAAATGCATTGCAGCACAGCCTAAGAACAACACGCTCATTTGTCAAGATAATATATCTAAAGATGCCTCTGTTAAGCTCACAGTCAGCCATTTCTGAAGCCTAATTGTAACTCCGTCATTTTTTGGTTGAATGTGATTCATTTAACCCCTCTGTGTCTGTGTCAAATGACAGTAATAATCAGCTTTCAGGGGACTTGGGAGATTAGGTAGCACTTTGCAGTGCTCTGTAATCTGAAGTTATGTGACTGGTTCCCTGTCTCATCATTTCACACAGAACAGCTCAGCGACTTGTCTTTCACTTGTATCATTGATGACTGATCTAGATGATGCGTGTCAAGAACCATCTCAGCCAACTTGGCCTTAATCTGAGAAAGAGGCATCTCTTTGCAGTAAAGATATATCCTGTTCTTATTCACCAAATGAAAAACTGAAGCTCTGGGAACTGGACACAAGTATTGGCATGGCTCACCATACATATCATCATTCCATGATGTTTTTATAAACTACTCCCAGCAGTAAAAATTCACACATCTTCATTATAGTTCTCCATTTCTCTGTCATTACTTGTTTGCTAGCAGTTACTATCTTCACACTGGGCACATAGAAGTAAAATAACTGTATTTTTAAGGAGAAGATTGTTTCAGATATTGTTAGTTTTAACCAAATAATACCAAATGCAAAGTGCTTTTGGTACAATGTGTCCTTTTCTTCTATCATTTATAGGCATGTCACAAAATGGGCTTTACTTATGGTCTACAGCATACAGGTTAGCTCAAGGATTTCTGTGTCATAAAGCACATACACTCATTTTTTCCACAATTAAGGGTTGTTTTATGATTTTTTTGCAGATGAAGTTGCCCCACTTTTTTAACGCTGACTTTTTATTTGCCTACAGAGCACTCTGAAAGCTCTTTTCCTTATACAATTCCAACACTCTTCTAAAGACACTGGTCTTGATCCTTCTGTAACTTCTATTACGCAGCAGTACCACTCTAATTAGTACTTGGACTTATTCCTGACTGTTACTCCGGATGATGTTGGAGATACTCTCTCATTTCTACTCCTCAGGTTTGTTAAAGAAAAATTGCCTTCTATCATAGACCATTAGTTTACAGGTCATAATAACTCAAGTCACACACACACAAAACAAGAATATTTAATAGACTGTACTTAATAAGTGATTTGTTGCTTATGGACAAAGTACTCACTTCTTTTCTAATGCTTCCAGCTACCAATCCCATCTCTGTAGTAAATACGATGTGGAGAATGGGGTAAAATAAGAAGTGTGCATCTGGATCCTTATAGTTGGGCTTCAGGCAAAGTTGGTATTTTATTTCTTATTGCTTTTGCAAAATGTTGCTGAGGATCAGATTTCCTTAGAAATCTGTCATTCTTACATACTCACAATATTTTTTTTTTCTTTGAATTTATCCTCTTCCGCAGTAGTAATGATTAATCTGATTCTCTTGGCACACAGTTTTAAATC